TAATTTTTGTACATTAATTTTGTATCCTGAAACTTTGCTAATTGTTTATCAGATCAAAGAGCTTTTAGGCAAAGACTATGGGGTTTTCTACAGAATCATATTGTCTACAGAGATAGTTTGACTTCTTTTCCTTGGATGTCTTATATTTCTTTCTCTTACCTGTTATCTCTGGCTAGGACTCCCAGTACTATGTTGAATAGGATTGGTGAGAGTGGGCATCTTTGTCTTATTCTGGTTCTCAAGGGGAATACTTCTAGCATTGGGCCCATTCAGTATGATGTTGGCTGTGGGCTTATCATAGATGGCTCTTATTTTGAAGTATGTTCCTCTAATGCCTAGTTTGCTGAGGGTTTTTAACATGAAGGGATGTTGAATTTTACTGAAAGCCTTTTCTGCATCTATTGAGATGATCATGTGGTTTTTAAGTATTTATGGGATATTCAAAACAGATATATAAGAAGCAAAAAAACTTGGGCCCAAAAAACAAGTTTGAAGGTATATTTGGGAGTTACCAGTAATACAGGTAACTGCTGAAGCTCTAAATATAGAAGACAAACTAGAGGAGCTTGTTTCTTGAAGAATTCTTGTCATGCTTGACATTTTTTACAGAGACTTCTTAAAACAGGGGCCTACCTTCTTTGGCTAACATGTGCAGACTAAAATGAAAGAGCATAGTATATTATAAAATCAGTAAAAGGTAAGATAAATTTAGGCCTAAAAATAAAGAATAAATACACTCAGTTGAATGTGAAGCTCTAATTTACAGATGCAAAATTGCAACAATACATTAACTTATATGTAAATACATCTAGGGAAACAAAAAATGGAAGTAAAATGGAAAAAGATAAAAGAAGTGAGGCAAGGAGAAGAGAATGGGCAAAAGGACGTAGGAAAATCAGGAATTTTTTAAGGCCTAAAATTTTAGTGAATCAGATGTGGAAAACGGATTAACACTGAGATCAAATGAGAAAGGAGCAAATAAGGAAAGATGTATTACAAACCAAGAGTGAAAAAGGGAAAACAAAATAACAAAAGCAAAAGCTATTTAAAAAGAATAAAGGAAGAGGTGATAATGAAGTAAATTTAAAAAGTACGGAATAATAAAAAGATATTGCAAAAAATATCTTTTGAAAATAAACATACTAATAACTTGACAATAAAGTGAAATATGTAAGACAAACATATCTGTGTCATTATTTAGGAGTAGTGAAAAGTACTCTTAAATAATAATTTGGTGTCTAGCAGGCCTGGATTTGAATCTACTTTAACTTGCTAGCTATGTGACCTTGGGCAAGCAAAGAAAATGCTTATAACAATTGTAAAAATACCTGTAAAGTGCCTTATACTTATGGCTCAAAAAATGAAGGAAATGAGAGAAAAAAGTATAGATTACTATATGGAAGTCAAATTTCTAGTGACTTTTCTAATCTAAACATGAATTATTACAGTACTTGAAATAAACATAAAGTTTATTTTTAAACTGAGAACTGAGTGACTAAATTGCTTGTGATAGTTTTACACTGCTAGGTCAACCCTGCCTGACAGTAACAATAGGATGTGAGACTCAATATGCTCATTCTATCTCAAATTCTGTCACACATAACGATGACTGCTATTTACCTTTCTCCTGAGCCATCTGTGAAAACAAACAAACAAACAAAAGAAAAACCCACCAGGGTAGGAGTCAGCTAGTTCTGCTAACAAAACTAACCAAAAACCTTAATTGTATGGCCACCAGCACCCGAGCCCTTTGTCATGAAAGCTACCAATAGGGTGGAAATTTATTTTATTATACATGTTTTATTAAATCCTATGTGTGCAGAAACGATTATCCATTTTCCTTCTTAACTTGTTTTTGTAAGACTTATTAAGTAGAAAATATAAATCTCAAGCTCCTTAAATGTGATTTTGAGGAACTGAGACCAAAACAATTTTTTGCTGTGAAACCAGATCCTTGAATGCACTACAGGAAAATATTATTTGATATGAATTTTTTTTGGTACACACAATTTTTCGAAAATCTCTCTGTCTCCACAAAGTTAATTCAAATTGTAGAATTCTTCCAAGTCACAAAAGTAGTTTTCATGGCTCTGGGTACTTACCTTTGAGTTTCACATCCTATATCTCTGGAGCTCTTAACTGAGGGAACATGGACCATTAGGTCATGAACAGACTTGTAGTCTTTGAACAGCCTGAAACAGTTATGTGATACTTAATGTGCATGTACACAGGAACATTTTTTCTAGAGTAATGGCACATACCTTTCATCAGATTTTCAAAGGTTTCTTGAAATGCTCAAGAACCATTGTCAGACATTTAAATAACCGGAGTGTATACAGTGTCCAAATATTTCCAAATTTTGACACTTGTAAGATGTCTTAATTAAAACAAGCCATGAAGTTCAGTGTCATAATAACCAGAAAAGTTACTTCTCTTGTGAGAGTAGTTCTATGTCTTTACTTCCTAGTGGTTTACACACTCTTTAACCCATATGACAATCTGGCTTCTGTCCCCAGTGCTCTGGAATTACTTCTGCCTGTATGATTAAGTTCCTCGTTGTTAAATTCGAAAATACATTTTTTGGTATTTATTTGACCTCTTGGTGGTAATATAGGGTAAGAGCACAGACTCTGGAGCCAAACTGCCTAGGTTCTAATCTTAGCTCTATGACTTTCTAACTCTGTGACTTTGGGCAAATTACTTAACTCTCTCATGTCTCAAAGCAGAATCCTTTGTAAAGTTTATTTATATAGTGGTGTGAAGAGTACTTTACTTCAAAAGGTTTGGTCAGTGTGAGAAATAAGCTCCTAAGAAAGTGTTATGTAATAGTTATTATCTGGTGCCTCTGATCACATCTTTCTTGAAAATCACTTGAAATCTGCCTAAGTTTCATTCTGCTTTTGATGGCTCCTTATTTTCATCTCCCTACTTCTAGGCTTCCTCCCTAATATATCTTTTATGCCAAGGCCTATATGATCACTTGAAACTATAAATCTGATGCCATCCTTTGCCACTGCCATTAAGATAGTCTAAAATCCTCAGCATGGTAGACAAGTCCCTTTATGATAGTGTACCAATCTAGTTCTCATTCCTCAAGTCTCCTCTGTTGTCTGTGCTTACCCTACGGGCTAAGCTGAACCGAGCTGTTACATTTCCAAAATATGCCTCGCTGTCTTTATGCATGCCTTTGCGCATGCCACTGACTCTTCCTAGAATGCCCCATTCTCCTTCTCTAGAAAGTCTTCTCTTACCATACTTCTTCCCAAAATAAGTTAGGTGTCCTTTCTTAATGTGCCTCCAATAACCCCATACAGTATTTATCCCACTCTATTTTAGATGCCACTTTGGTTGCTGATACATTTCATCTAGTCAGATCTTCCCACTGCCTCTTATAAAGAAAACCAGGAGCCACGTTATGATATCCTTGTTCTCTAATTTTTCTGCCACCCTGATCTTAAACCACTTTCTTTTTCCTTTGTTGACATTTACCCCATCCCTTTATTAATTAGCCCAACAAGATTAGAGAGAAATGTATCTACAAAGGATATATGTAGATAAATTAACTAGATAATAAAACTTCACACTGAAGTGAATATTCTAGAAGTATTTATTTCATTGCTGACCATTAGGTTGCAGCATGCAACTCTCAACAATGAGCTGCCCCTCTCCACTCCTATAGAAGCTCCAAATACTATGGTACCACTATTTAGGTTTTCAGCCTTTCAAAGGCTTTTATTATCAACATCATCATTACTTAGGCAGGAGCCTTTCAGGGACTTAAAAGCACTTATTATCTATAAAAGGTAACTTCATATTGCATGCACAAAATTCCCAATTGGCAGATTTAGGTCCATAAAAGAAAAAAAATATTCTAGTTCTATAAATTATCAGGAATAAAATAGCATTCCTCCTTGCCTTGTTATAAGGAAATAATATTTTTTTTCCTTACCAGGAATCAGGATAGTATCTTTGAGGATCCCTCAGGGTTATAAAATTGCTTACTGGTTAAAGTTTTCGCCAAAGATATTAAGAAATAAAAAGTTCGCTCATTTTCCTGTACAATTTAAAGAAATATCTGCAGTACGTACAGGAGTTTTACGTTATATTGCAGACCCTTGCGATAATATTTAAAAGGCCTATTTTCCCCATTAAAAAATTCTACCTCAGAAGGTAAAAGGAAATCCCCATCATCCCTGAGCAGAAAAGGAAAAAATCATGGGTACTTTAATTAGTTAATAGAAACCACTATAAATGAGTTATCTATCTCTAGAACATTCTCAGAGAATTTACATGAACCAAAACAGGAATGAAGTGCTCTCAGAGACTTTTTCTCAGGTAAATGTATTTAGTAGTTTGAGTAGCTGATCTGCAAAAACTTTAAATTTAATTAACTACATAAATGAATATTTTTTATTTTGAAATTTGAGAATGTCCTAAGAGGATGTCTACAGGACATGAAACTACTAGGTGCAGGAAAATTTTTTAAATGTTAGCAAATTGTGGCAGGAGGAAAACAAACAGTGGAGAAAATTGTGGTAGAGAAAGTAAAGAAGGGGCAGGAGAAAGCTGTACATATAACCTGGGCCTTCCTTTCTTCTCATGAAGCCAGGGGCTTCATCTATACCCTATACTTGCTCTTACACTAGTACAAACCAAATGCTGCAAAATAAAAGTAATAATGACCCAAACTAATTTAAGTCTTTTGTTTAAGGAGTAAATGAGAGAAACATTGTAGCTTCTCAATCGAAGAGTGCTATAATTTCAAGGTATCTTAATATAATTCACTTAACCCTAAAGCAATTGTGCAATAAGCAAATTATAAAAGGAAAACAACAAAGGTTAACTTTCTACTGGGGCCAATAGACAAGATCTGTGGAGCACAGCAATTAACCTTCACATACTGGAGTCTTGTTTAAAAGGCCATCAAAAACTCAGATTATTGAAAATCACAAATGTCACCAACAAAAGGAATGTTGATTAGAGTCAAAAAAAAAAAAAAAAAAAAAAAAAAACCTTCCCAAAGGACTGCCTTCTTTGAAGGAATTTCAGAATGTTGCTAGTACAGGTTGACTAAATCTCATTGATGGCTCCATTAGAGAATGAGAATGCCCCAGTCAGTGCTGTTTTTAAAATGCACTGGGAGGGAAAAAACGAAATAACAATCTACTGTTCCCTAACATATATGGCTTAGCACCCAGAGAAAGCCTCTGCCCCTGAAACAGACTTTCTACATAGGGTTAAGCTTCATTAAATGAGGTGTAACCTTTCATTTTCAGGACGTCTCTTTTCTTTCAAGGTCTTTAGAGGCAGAAGTTCCACTTGGATTCTAATACACATCTCTGTGAGCTCAGTTTCCTGAAAATATACACCTACTGGGTTCTAGGTTCTCCCTTACCAGTGACTGTATTCATTATTTCACAGCCACCAGAATCGGACATACACTATTAACATGATGAAAAATACAGCTACTGCTGCAAGTTTGGCATAAGTGGAACGCATGTTCAAGTACTTCGCATCCTGGCGGTATTTCTTGGACAGACTGGACAAATTGTTAGCCTTTGAATCCAATGCTGTCAAAGAGGAAAAAAGGAAAACATTAATTAGTCCCTGGAAGTATTTTGCCAAAAGTATTAAGGCATTAAAAATAACCAAAATGAGCAGCATTGCAACAACCATGAATCTTAAATCATCATTTTTATTTTTAAGACTAACATTGCATATACTAATTGATGATCCTGAAACACTGTAAAATCTATAATACAGTTTAAATTTATCAGATCAGATTATGTCTGAATTTTTGAGGCTATATAGTAAGGTGGTTAGAAGTACAGGTTCTGGCCTCAGACTCTTTGGTGCAGATATCACCTGTACTAGTTATGTGACATTGGTCAAGACATGTAACCGATTTAAAACCTAGTTTCTTCATCTATAAAATGGGGATAATAATAGTAACTATGTCATAAGGTTGTGTGTACATGAGATTGCCTGTAAAGTGAGCAACAGTGCCTACACATGATAAATTATAATAATTGTTACATGTTAATAATTACTATCTTCATAATCTTCTAATGGTCTGAATCATATTCTCTTATATTTTGAAAAACAATAATGATAATCTATGTAAAACAAACTCAGATAATCAGAAAATTCAACTAACCAAACACAGTCTTAAGCTATATTTCAATGATGACTGCTAAACCACAAAGTAAAGACTACTATGAAGTAGCTATCAGGATTTATATTTCAATAGACACAGGAAAGTTGTAACTAAAATACAATAAGAAGTACTACCAAAAAAACCCAAGTAAATTAAGCTTTTTAGCATTTTCTGGCAAGTTTTTTCACCCCCAAGGACATTTGTAATGTTATCTTCTTATAACAGTTAACTAAGCACTTAGAGAAATAGCCAGATAGACACAAGCTAGACCAGATTAAAATATAGGGCATATTTGAATAATAAACACAAACTCTCCATTTGACATAATAAATTCTGATCAAACTTTTCACTTCTTTAAATTTCAGAAAAACTATTTTGCAATCTGATTGTTTCTTCCTTAAAGAATGCTTTTGGAATATTTGGGGTTGCTTAATAGAGACTGGTTTTGATTGGGAAACATGGCGTTACTTAATAACACAAGCATGACAGCCACGTCTGAATTAGCAACTGATCACATGAGTAAGAAAAACATCTAGCCAGGAAAAAAGAGTCAGGGACTGAGAAATAACCATGACAATGCACAGGGCATCTTTTTACAGAGTCTACAAGAATATACACTCCACTGGAGAGGGATTCTAAATTATTGTGTTTGCTGCTATATCCTGAATGCCTAGAACAGGGCCTGGTATATTAGTTAGTGCTCAATAAATCTAAATCTGCTGAGAATAACTCAGCAGAGGAACAATTATTAGACCATGTGAAACAAGTCATAGTTGAGAGAATTTATATATGAACATTTTGAAATACAGGATAACATAAAGATAAAGCTATTGCTTAAAGAAGTCATTTAACAAATATTTATGTTACAGGCACCCTGTGAAGTGCTGAGGATACAACAATGATCAAAATGTACATGATCCCTGCCTTTAAGGAATTTAGAGTCTTGCATGAGTGATACAAGAAAAATTCCTGTGCTAGTCTACTTTATCCCATATAGGAATTGCAAGTCTGTATGACAAAAACTTACACACTCACTCACTCGAAATTTGATATTTAAAGAGTGTGAAGGTAAATGAATAACTGCTCACTACTCACAAAAAAGTTAAAGTTTGTAGTTCATAATAAAAGAAAACTCATTTACTAATGAATATATAGCATGGCTGAATTCAAAAATACTTATTAAGGAACATATTTGTGACCATTACTATGGGCGATATATAAGAAGTATGTGAAACAGATATAAAATACATAAACACTGTATTTAAAGAGCTTACATGTCCACATTAAACACTTAGGTAATATTTAAACATCAGGTAAATATACATATACTTTTAACCTAATTTTACCTAATTACCTACACTTTTAAAATTATATGAAGGGCTGGGTGTGGTGGCTCATGCCTGTAATCCCAGCACTTTGGGAAGCTGAAGTGGTTGGATTGCTTGAGCCCTGGAGTTTGAGATCAGCCTGGACAGCATGGCAAAACCCCATCTCTACTAAAAAAATAAAAAAATTAGCCAGGCATGGTGGTACACGCCTGTAGCCCCAGCTGCTCAGGAGGATAAGGTGAGAGGATTGCTTGAACCCAGGAGGTGGAGGTTGCAGTGAGCCAAGATCGTGCCACTGTACTCCAGCCTGGGCAACAGAACAAGACTCTGTCTCAAAAAAATAAATATATGAAATTATATAAAAATATTTAATTATCCAAATATGTTTACCTGCATTAATATAAATATTTAAATATATGAAATATGTATTTGTTATATGGAAATATATTTAATATATATTAAAGTATATTTAATATATATTAATATATGTTTAATATGTAAGTTAGGTATTTAATAAAGGTAAATTAAGTAAACACACATGTATGTAATATGTTTCAAAAACATTATATTACTAAGTGCTTTAGGAGTTTAAAGTACAGAAGAGATTAATGTGATACAGGCTATAAGGATCAGAGAAGGCTTCTTTAAAGAGGCAGTTCTTATGCACGTCTTATAGAACAGGTCCAGCATTAAGGCAGAATAGACCACTAAGGATAGTGCAGAAGCTGGCATGGCTGCAGCAGAATGTTTGTGAACTAGAGAATGACAGACATTTGCATCCTTATTTTCCATATATAGAGCACAATGCCCTACAAATAACAAGCTCTCAATAACAATGGCTGACTGATGGAAAAATAAGTCAGACTGGATCTTATCTTGTAGTCCCAGATTTGAAAGTTTTTCAGAGAGGAATGCCTTGATGAAAATGGCATTTTATAAAGATTGATGTGGCAGCAGTAAAGTCTCCCAAAGAGACTACTCTAAAAACCACTGCAATAAATCGTTGACAATTTTCTCTCATTCTTTTCATTTCCCTTAACTTCCACAAGTGTTTATATAATTTACTGAATTTTGTGAATATCTTAGAAATAATCATTGCCTCTAATATGGATGAGTCCTTTACACTGTTCCAACTCAACAAAAATTAATCACGCTAGGAAAAAAACATATCATATTGGAAGCATTGTAATGTAATGTACTTCTGGGAGACAAATTCTTAACAGTCCTAGGTAGAATCTAACAGCATAAAAGGCACTGCAAAATGAGCTATCCTTGTCTATGGAATGAGAACCATTTCTTCATAAGACTCATTGCTTTTAGATACCTGAGAGTGCTTCTCCTCGTTGTAACACTTCTTCAATATTGGCCACCATGATCCTCTGCACATCTTGCAATTCAGTGTTGATGGAGCCTAGGTTTCTTCGAGCACGACTGTCAATGTAGAGCTTCTTGGTTTTTTGAATGAAAGTATCTAGAATGATGAAGAAAAGTGACCATGAACAATTTCTTTCACGGCCATCGAAGTACTGAGGTAGGAAATTAAAAGTTCTGAGTTGGCTGGGCGCGGTGGCTCACGCCTGTAATCCCAGCACTTTGGGAGGCCAAGGCAGGAGGATCATGAGGTCAGGAGATCGAGACCTTCCTGGCTAACACAGTGAAACCCTGTCTCTACTAAAAACACAAAAAGTTAGCCGGGTGTGGTGGCACACACCTATAATCTCAGCTACTCGGGAGGCGGAGCCAGGTGAATCACTTGAACTTGGGAGGCAGAGGTTGCAGTGAGCCGAGATCACACCCCCGCACTTTAGCCTGGGTGACAGAGTGAGACTCTCCCTCAAAAAAAAAAAAAACAAAAACAAAAACAAAAACAGTTCTGAGTTTATGCCTGGATTTGCCACTGTCCATGGTTAACCAAACTCTTGGTTGAATATCAAAACCTAGGCTTTTGATTTCTTCATTTGTAAGATGTAAACGTATAACTAGATGACCATTCAGGAGAAATGTCCTTTGAATTTCCTTTGAATTAGAAGTATTTGCTATATAAGGCTGCTATCAGAAGCCTTAGAGAAATTAAGACCCACTATAGTAAGCCTTTCTTGAAAACAGAAATTTTCAAACAGTATTCTGAGGATCCTTAGGGTTACTTAACTCTATACATTCCTTAAAAGGATGCTGGTAACACTCTAGCATTATTACAGCCTAACATGGCAAAAGGGTTCATGATTATTAAAGAGCTGAGAAACATTACTTTAAAGTATTTTCCCTAATATACATTCCCAGTTTCATTCCATTCTAAAACCTCATGTAAAGCAAATATGTAATAGGGAGATTTCCAAAATACCAATATAAAACTGAACTGAAGTCTCGGCCGGGCACTGTGTCTCATACCTGTAAATCCCAACATTTTGGGAGGCCAAGGTAGGTAGATCACTTGAGGCCAGGAATTCGAGACCAGCCTGGCCAACAAGGCAAAACTCCCGTCTCCACCAAAAATACCAAAATTAGCTAGCTGGGCATGGCGGCATGCACCTCTAGTCCCAGCTATTCAGGAGGCTGAGGCACAAGAATCACTTGAACCTAGGAGGCAGAGGTTGCAGTGAGCCGAGATCATGCCACTGCACTCCAGCCTGGGCGATAGAGCGAGACTGTCTCTCTAAATAAATAAATAAAAACTGAAGTCTCATCCATCTTTTGCTCATATCAGTATTTCTCAAAACTATAAGAAGAATGACTTACTATTAAAGATATTTTCAACTTTTGTCAAAAATCTTAATTTAAGTGTGCTGTACCCCTTTCATTGCCTCTTTAGATCTCCTCTCTGCCCTCCTGCACCTTGCTTTCTGCACTGGGAAGCTGACTGGGATGAAATGCCTCAACAGACTCCTTGCCCTGTGCCAGTTAGGTTCAGGCAATGAAGAAGCCCCAACAGTAGCGAAGAAGGAGAACAGACAGTGATGTCAGGGTATTTATTCCCCTGGCTTCTTTCAGAGAAGCGAGTATCCTTCTTCTGGAAGTATCCCTCTACCAAAAGTTACTGCTCCTCTCAAGTTGGGCTTCTCTAGAAATTTTCTCCTTTTCAGTTTCAGAAACTGCTCCTTCCCCTTATATATTCAGGCCTAGGGATGATAACAACCAGTATGCTACTGGTCCGAGGTTACTGTACCTTGTAATTATCCTACAGCCTATTCATATCTTTGTATATAATCCCTTAAGCTAATTTGGGTGTGCCATCTATTTCCTGTATGACTCTGATACATTTGTCTTATTTTTGAGGGAGGTTTACGGGACTATTACTGCCTACAAAAACAAAATTTGAAAAACTGGACATTATATAAAGCAGCACTTGGACAGTGTACAGTTATGAAACACTACAGTGTTTTTCCAAAGCAAGATGACCCATTTATCTAGCAAACCTGAAACACTTCAGAAATTCTAAGACAGTAAAACTAATTTCTCTTTTAACTAAAAATTGCAGCAATATAGCCTGATTCTACTTGTTCTCACTTCCTGTACTTATTGTACTTAGGACATTTCCTTTGATCCCTTACAATGAGATACTTTACCAGGTCTGAGGTGACTAGTCTTTCTATAAATCTTGTACAAATACAGACACCTATGCTCACTATTCCTGAATGTAGTAAATATTATACTCCAAGACCATGAATACCATGTATCTTCTATGTCTTTGTCTTGTTTTGTTTTTTAATTAGAGGATCTTACTCTACTAAAAGAAACAAAACACCATTCTTTCTGATTTCCCAATTCTGATCTCCAAAAATGAGCCTTATTATGACTGTGAGTCTGCAGACTGGGGTAAAGAAGAACTCAGCCATTATATGCCAATCAAGTAGATTTTTAGGCACAGTTTCTGTCACATGTGACTCTAATGAAGAATCAAACCAAATAACAGAAAAGGGCAAAAGGCAACAATTTCTATGGGGAAAAGATCAAAAGACTAGAGAAAATTACTTTTTAGAAGGAAGCCTTAGTCACTCAAAAAGACAAAAAGAAGTGGAATGGAAAAGGGAGCAGAAGCTAAAACTTCAACAAGTAAACATCAGAAAAAAATATATCAATATTATAGCAGTGTAACAAACAGCTTCTCCATACTGTTTGCTCCCTTGATAGAGAGAAGTGAGGGGCAAAAACTTACCAAATTCAATAAAGGAATAGGGTCGGGACACAGTGGGCACCTTCTTCCCATGCTGTTCATCAAATTCTGAGTGCAAATCTTCTAGGTAGGCAAAAGCCAACTTCTTAGGGAAGGCAGCTTCACATAAAACCAAATAACACACCCCCTGCTCAATAATGTAGCTGGTGAGACATAAAAAGCAAGACGAAGTTGTCTGTAAAGTAACAGTACTGACAACAGGTTAAAGCAGAATCTCTGTACCATGCAAACTTTTAAAAAATCTAGCCTAAACATTTTAAGGCTGGCTAAATGAGAAAGTCAATTTAAAATCACAAATCCCTGGAATCAGAAAGCAAACATCTTCCCATTATTAGACGTATATTCTTTTTTTGTTTTTGTTTTTGTTTTTTGTGTTTTTTTTTGAGAGAGTCTCACTCTGTCGCCCCAGCTGGAGTGCAGTGGCCCGATCTCGGCTCACTGCAACCTCCGCCTCCCAGGTTCAAGCCATTCTCCTGCCTCAGCCTCCCGAGCAGCTGGGACTACAGGTGTGCATCACTACACCCAGGCTGGAATGTAGTGGCGTGATCTCGGCTCACTGCAAGCTCCGCCTCCTGTGGGTTCACGCCATTCTCCTGTCTCAGCTACTGCTAGGACTACAGGTGCCCGCCACTACCACGCCTGGCTAATTTTTTGTATTTTTAGTAGAGACGGGGTTTCACCGTGTTAGCCAGGATGGTCTTGATCTCTTGACCTCGTGATCCGCTCGCCTCAGCCTCCCAAAGTGCTGGGATTACAGGCGTGAGCCACTGCGCCCGGCCTATTAGACATATATTCTAAAAGGAGTATTTAGACATATTTATTATATTTTTTCATCCATTAGATAATCTTTTTTTTTTTTTTTTTTTTTGAGACAGGGTCTCTTTCCATCACCCAGATTACCCAGGTTGGAGTGCAGTGGCATGATCTCAGTTACAGCAACCTCTGCCTCCCCGGTTCAGGCGATTCTCGTGCCTCAGCTTCACAAACGGCTAGGATTACAGGCACCCACCACCACACCCAGCTAATTTTTGTATTTTTAGTAGAGATGGGGTTTCACCATTTTGGCAAGGCTGGTCTGAAACTCCTGACCTCAAGCGATCCACCTGCCTCAGTCTCCCAAAGTGCTGGGATTACAGGTGTGAGCCACTGCACCCAGCCCACTACACAATCCTTCAACTAACATTTTAAACTTTTATTTTAGCTTGAGGATGTGTATGTGCGGGTTTGTTACCTGAGTATATTATATTGCATAATGCCGAGGTTTGGGGTATGAACAATCCTGTCACCCAAGTACTAAGCATAGTACCCAATAGTTTTTCAACCCCTGCCCCCTACTTCCCTCCTCTTCTAGTAAGTCCTCAGTATATTTATGTCCATGAGTGCCCAATGTTTAGCTTATAAACTTATAAGTGAGAACATACAGTATTTAGTTTTCTGCTCCTGCATTAATTCACTTAGGTAATGACTTCCAGCTCCATCCATGTTGCTGCAAAGGACATGATTTCATTCCTTTTTATGACTGCACAGTATTCCAAACTGTATACGTACTACATTTTCTTTATCCAATCCACCACTAATATTTACCTAGGTTGGTATCTTTGCTATTGTGAATAGTGCTGCAATGAACATGCAAATGCATGATTTTTGGTAGAAAGATCTGTTTCCTTTTGGATATAAACCCATTAATGGGTTTGCTGGATCTAATGGTAGTTCTGTTTTAAGTTCTTTGAGAAATCTCTAAACTGCTTTCCTCAGTGGCTGAATTTACATTCCCACAAACAGTGTATAAGCAATTCCCTTTTCTCCACAGCCTCACCAGCGTCTGTTGTTTTTTGACTTTTTAATGATGCCCTGTGACTGTTGTGAGATGGTATCTTATTGTGGTTTTGATTTGCATTTCTCCAATAATTAGTGATGTGCACTTTTTCATTAGTTTGTTGGCCTCTAGTATGTTTTGAGAAATGTCTGCTCATGTCTTTTGTCCATTTTTTAAATGGGGTTATTTTTTGTTTAATACTTAAGACTTTTTCTTGAAAAATTCACAGTTGTGACTCCATCCACCCTTTGATTCTACATGGTAAACTAGCATACAAATATTTAAACTCTTTCTAGCCACAAAGAAAAACAGTAGATCTGGAAATTTCTGTGGATAGAAATGTAAGGTTAATGACAATGTTTACTGGGTACAAGACTAATTAACACTCCTTAATTTCCAGTCCAGGAGAACTCTGTAATCAACTGAAACTTTTCAACAATGAAACTGACTTTCTTTTGTGATAATGAGTTCCCACGCACTCTGGAAGGGGCTATATGATTATACGTCTGAGAAACTCTTAGAAAAATGTTAGGCTACTAAGTGGTTTTCCAACTTCTTTTTAGCCATAGTATACACACACACACACAAATATATATATTTATATATGTAATATGTATATATAATAAGCAAAACTTATATTCAGAAGGCCAATGTATGTATCAGATAAAATCAGAAGTTCTTTAGTTTAAGTAGGAGTTTGCAAATATTTTCTCCCATTGTGCAGGTTCTCTCTTCACTGTGTTGTTTCCTTTGCTGTGCAGAAGCTTTTAGTTTAATACAGTCCCATTTGTCTACTTTCTTTTCTGTTGCCCGTGCTTTGAAGTCTCTGCCATACAGTCTTTGCCCAGGCTCATGTCCTGAAGCATTTCCCCTATGTTTTCTTCTAGTAGTTTTATAGTTTAGGGTCTTAAGTTTAAGTCTTTAGTCTACTTTAAGTTTTTTGTATATGATGAGATAGGGATCTAGTTTCATTCATCTGATGAGGAACTAATATCCAGAATATACAAGGAACTCAAACAACTCAACGGGAAAACCAAAAATAATTCCATTAAAAAGTAGGCAAGGAACAGAATTGGCATTTCTCAAAAGAAGACATGCGAATGGCCAAGTATATGAAAAAATGCTCAACATCACTCATCTTCAGGTAAATATAAATAAAAACCACAATGACATATTATTTCACCCCAGTTAAAATGTCTATTAAAAAGACAAAAGTCAATAAATGCTGATGAGGATGAAGAGAAAAGAGAACTTTTATATACTATGGAAAACAGTGTGGAGGTTTCTCAAAAAACTAAAAACAGAACTACCATACAATCTAGCAATCCCACTGCTGGGTATTTCTCCAAAGGAAAAAAACTCATTATGTTAAAAACTTATCTGAACCCCATGTTTACTGCAGCACCATTCATAGTATCTATGGATAGATAATCAAGAGAAATGTCCATCAACAGAATAATGGATTTAAAAAGTGTTTTTTACACACATATACATACACACACACCATGGAATACTATTCAGCCATAAAACAGAATGAATTTCTATCATTAGCAGCAACATGGATAAATCTGGAGGACATTACGTTAAGTAAAATCAGTCATGCACAGAAAGATAAATATGGCATGTTCTCATTCATATGTAGGAGCCAAAAAAAACTTTTGAGCTCATGGAAGTAGAGAATAGAACTGTGGGTATTAGAAGTGGGGAAAGGTAGACAGAAGGGAAGGATGGGCAGAGGCAAGTTAATGGATAAAAAACACAACTGGATAGGAAGAATGAGTTCTGGTGTTCTGCAGAACTGTAGGGTGAATATGGCTAGCTATATCTTACTGCATATTTTCAAAAAGCTACAAGAGGGAATTTTGAATGTTCACAAAGAAATAATAAATATTTGAGGTGATGAATATGTTACTCTGATTTGATTACACATTGTATATGTGTATTGAAATACACTCCATATCTTATAAATATGTGTAATTATTACATGTCCACTGAAAATAAAAGGAAATATTTTAAAACATAAGGAGGAGTTTAGGGGCCCAAAGCATTATATATACTCCCATCCTTGCCCTTTCTATGTGGCTCCTGAGGCATCCTAGGGCTCCATAAAGGATAAAGACTATTATATGATCTATCAGGCCCCTTAAAATAATGTTAATAATATAGCTGTCTTATTCCTTGCTTGGGCACCTGAATTAACTGGTCTCTTTGCTTTTAGTCTACACCATCTTCTATACCATCAGTTTTATTCCCAGAGACTACAGATGGCCATATTACCCTGCTTACAAACTCTAAGGGTTCCCTAATACCTACAAAATAAAATCATACTCCATGGTATTATATTTACAGCCTTTCAAAACAAGTGTAAGCAACATTCTATCATATATTTTAGTAATCCAAATGGCGGACTGTTTTCCAACATGCTAGGTTCTTTAGATATTTGTGGACTTCTGCTTATATTGTTTTTTCTAACCATTAATGCTCTTTTATGTACCTGGAGAAATCCTGTTCATTTTCTTATGTTCAATTCTACCATTATTTTTTCTGTGAAACTTCTTTATATATACTCCCCTCCTCTGTCCCGTTTCTTCGAACTTACCCCCAACAAATGGGAATTTGTTCCTTCCTTCTCTCTGTTCCCAAAACATTTCATTTAAATCTAATTTACAGCACCTTTTCATTTAAGACATTATAGTATACTTGTTTGCGTGTATCTCTCTCTGTACTAAGAGAACAGCATTAAAAGATAGGGGCATGCCGGGCGCGGCGGCTCACGCCTGTAATCCCAGCACTTTGGGAGGCCGAGGCGGGCGGATCACAAGGTCAGGAGATCAAGACCACGGCCCGGTCTCTACTAAAAATACAAAAAACCGGCCGGGCGCCTGTAGTCCCAGCTACTCGGGAGGCTGAGGCAGGAGAATGGCGTGAACCCGGGAGGCGGAGCTTGCAGTGAGCTGAGATTGCACTACTGCACTCCAGCCTGGGCAACAGAGCGAGACTCCGTCTCAAACAAACAAACAAACAAAAAAGGTAGGGACATTAAATGCAGGACTCAATATAAGGGCTGACAAAGAATAAACCCTTAATAGCTCTTGCATGGAAATAAAGGATGTTATGAGATTATGAATGTCTAAAGGAATCAGGCAGAAGAAAATCTCTCTCAATTCCATGAGAACTTTCTTAGGTCTTTGTTCCCTAAACCATGGTGAAAAGGAGGATACTAGATATTAAGTGACTATATTTTTGGTGTTAAAAATTAGAGTTCTAGAAAATATTTCAGATATTATAAAAATTAATACTTTATAAAACATAATGTCCAACATTTTCTTAGCCAATTGCCTAGGGTTTTATTTTTGTTTTGATGTACTTTTTACTTGTCTTTTGTAGGTAATTTTTGTTTTTAAAAGTAAACATAGCAGCTTCCTCCCTGGCCTAAGTTACCTTACTATCTAAGTCCTTAAAATAGTAAAGATTATTTAGCTAATCCGTTTTTATTTTCCTCTGATGCTCCTGTACTCTTTTCCTTTTTAATCCTTCTTATTTTGTCAGCTCTAAACTTGGCATGTATTAAACATTAAATACCAATTATTTGTAGACAATTTAAAATCCAATAATGTTCCTTTGAGTCCTTTATCAGCTATATCATTGTCTATAACCACTGATTAAAATGCTCTTCTCTTCTATAATTTTCTTTTTTCAAAATAATAGTAACTAATATTTATTGACTCTTCCCATGTCTGTCAGACAAGATGCTTGCTAAATAATACACGTGGATTCCCCCACAAACTGAGGCTGAGAGAAGTTACGTGAGCTGCTCAAAGTTACACTGTTAGGAAATGTTTGAGCAAGGGGATTAACCCACACATATCTGGCTCCAAGACAGTCCTAAAGCAAGAAGTTATCTGTTATTGCATGATGGGCACAGCATTCATTAGACACATGTTAACAGGTTAAATTACTGTAAACATGTTGAAAAAAACAAACAAGATGTCCGTTTTGTAGAATTAGAGCCAGAGAAGTTGCTTCTCCCAAAAGACTACGTTTTAAAGTAATCTTTACTTTTAAAAAATTATTATTTTTATCAGGCATTCTGTTACTGTATTTCACACTTAAATGATCATAAAGAAATCAAGATTATACTCACTGAAAAGTCATGGCTCCTGCTTCCAAGGTACATCTGGTAGGGGACTGTTCATTCAACTTCCGAAAGAGTTGCTTAGCCTGACTCTGATACTGTTGAAGGTCCCGGCCAGACTGAAAGAAGACACCTTCATTTAAGAATTTTCCACAAAAAGCTGTTATCAATTAGTGAGAAACATCATATTATGAGGACACTCTGAATGAGGTCCTTCATTTACAGGTAAATAAGATTCATTTTAATGAAAGAAAGACAACCTACTTTCAGAGTACAGAGGAAGACCTAACCCCTACTTCTTCAAGATGACTGCATTTGTTATTTGTTAAGAAGCAAAAGCATATACCTCAAATATACTTAGAACTCTTAACTTTCAATCCAGTATTCTTTCCACTGTTAGGACCGTACTCTCCTCCTAACCCATTTCATTTGCAGTTACTGGCACAGAACCATACAGCATGTGCTATATTCAGGGGAAATCCCAGAAACAAGATTGATGAATTTCATTTTTATGTTGGAATATCCAGGAGAACCTTCCACAAGTGTTACAGTTTTGAGCATTTAAACAAAACTAAATGTGTGTACTCATAACTGCAAATTATTATGAACACTTTGACTGCAATTAGGTAAAAATGACCAAGAGTAGACACAAAGACTAGGATGTCAGATATTCTTTACTGAATAAATCTATTTGGTTCCCAAGTTTGGACAGCAAAAGTTTGAATATCGAGGGATATATGCAGACAAAAATGAAAATAACAGCATTCAGATGTTATAATTACTGGTAATATTTTCCTGAACAATTTCTAACTGATTTTACAATTATTCTTTTAAAAAAGGGGGCAAATCTATTGGAAAAATAGCAGTGTCATTTCAAAAGAAGACAACCATGCATCACCAATCTACTAGATCCAACAGGGAAAGGAAATGCCTGAAGAATGGGAAGCAAATAGACATTGTTTATCCATCCACATGTGGGGAAGGGGAGCTTTCTGCCAGCTATCCAGTTATGGTCTGAATGTTTGCTGGTATCCCCCAAAAAATTAATGTTGAAATCCTAACCCCTCAAAGTGATGGTATGAATAAGTGGGACCTTTGGGAGGGGATTAAGTCATGAGGGTAGAGCCCTCCAGAATGCGATTAGTACCTTTATAAAAGAGACCCCAGAGGGCTAGCTTGCTCCATCTACCATGTGAGGAAACAGCCAGAAGGTGACATCTATGAACCAGGAATAGGCCCTCAATAGTCACCAAATCTGCTGGTGCTTGATCTTCACCTTGCAGAACTAGAAAAATCAATTTCTGTTGTTTACAAGCCACCTAGTTTATGGTATTTTGTTATAGTAACCCAGACTAAGACACTGCCATGTGATGCAAAGACATAATTCTATTTTGGAATTATTTATTTTACATAGAAAGAATAGCCTCCCTTTGGCAGATGTTTAATAACTAAATATTTAAGTAGAAAAGTATTTATGCTAGGGTCTCCCAGGATCTGAGCTCTAACTTTGATAAAGTACAAAGTGATATCTTAAAATTGTAGATAGTATACTAATAAGTTGATAGTAAAAACAAGGAAGCAATAATAAAATGATAAAGCGGCAGATCAACAAATGTACAATTACAGGATAATAAGATTCTAAGCTATATATAAAAATGGTGAACTGGAAATTTCAGTATGAGTAAGAAGGTGAATAAGCATGAGGTGAACCAGGGGAGATAGGCAGAGTCCAGTTGAGGTATTAGTTTGTAGATTTATCTTAATACCACTGTTACGGCAATGATTTGTTTTATTGACATATATTTGCTACGTATTTGAGAAATAGTTCTATATTAACATATGTATGTCTGTATGTATATATGTACAGTTTTATATATTAAACTACTTTATAATAATTATATTGAAATTATCATATTAAACAGTACTACTTATATGGTCAGCCAATAAGAGTGAATACTGTCATATACTTTTAGCCAATAAGAACTAGTGCACAATATTCTATTTTCCTAAATTTGAATGGTACTTACCAATCTTTTTGTTTCCCCAGTGCCATTCTGAAGAGATCTGAACCCACAAGAGTAGATAAAAGGGATGCAAATAATGTTGGGAATGCTACTCAAGTGCCAAGAAAGAATATCAACATAGATCTGTGATTTTCAACCTTGGCTTCACAATAGAATCACTTGGGGAATCTCAAAAATAAAACTACTTATGCCCAGTCTCTACCACCAAACCAATTAAGTCAGCATCTTGGAGGTGGGGCTGTGACATCAGTATTTTTTACATAATTGCAACCACTGGTGTTAAATATAAGTTCTTTGCTTAAAAGGACTAGTTGAAGAAACATGGAAAAAATTGTCACTCAGATTGGTACAAATCCTTTGACTTTACAAGAGGCACTGTAAACATTACTGTAACCTGAGAGAAAGACTAACAACTGTATCACCTAATAAGAAACTGGCCAAAAGCATTCTACAAGTTCAGGAATTTGCAAACAGCAATGTAAAGACTGCCAATATACAACACTGGGGATGCACTTATAGGGATTATGGTATGCCAACCAACATCTTACCGTGCTGGTTCAGTTAGCATTACCATCCTTGAGAACACAATGCTAGCACAATCTTCTTGGTTAAACAGTACTCTTTCTGGCATATTCATATAATGGAATACTATGCAGCCATTAAAACAATGATGTACAGAGTTTAATGATATGAGAAAATATTCATTAAACATTGTTAAGTGGAAAAAATTAGGTGAAACAGTCTTACGATATTATCTATTATTTAATGTTATATACACATACATATGTTTAAGGTCATCCACCAAAATGGATATAATTCGAGTACAGATTATAGCTAATACACACTGTTAACATTTTGGTCATTTTGCTTTTATGTATTTACTGACCTTTCTCTAATATGCACAAATTAATTTTGTAATGTGAAAAATCATTCATTCATTATGTATTTGCATCCAGTGTATTGATTATATGCAATTCTGATCTGTGAACTTTTAAGAAAGGCAAGATGAGGCCAGGCATGGGGGATCACGCCTGTAACCCCAGTACTTTGGGAGGCCAAGGCAGGTGGATCACGAGGTCAGGAGTTCAAGCCCAGCCTGGCCAAGATGCTGAAACACCGTCTCAACCAAAAATACAAAAATTAGCCAGGTGTGGTGGCAGGCGCCTGTAATCCCAGCTACTCAGGATGCTGAGGCAGGAAAATCGTTTAAACCTGGGGAGCGGAGGTTGCAGTAAGCCGATATTCCACCACTGTACTCCAGCCTGGGAAACAGAGTGAGACTCCATCTCAAAAAAAAAAAAAAAAAAAAAAGAAAGGCAAGATGGAATTAGACAAGATTCTTCAGAAATGATCATATGAAATTATTAAGTGTTCACTTTCTGCCAGGCACTGTTCTGAACACTTTACATTATTTAACTCGTTTAATCTTCATGAGGTGATCAGAATTATTAGGCCAATTTTTTACTTGAGAAGTCAAACTTTTTAGACTCTAAGCTAAAAAGGGAGGAACTAGGATCTGAAAGCAGGCAATCTGGCCCTGGACCCCCTACTCCTAAGCATTATGCTATCCTAACTCTATAACTGAAATTGTTTCAATAGTAGATCCAACTTTTAGGTGAAGTCTTACTATGTAATTCTAATTCATTGGAAATGCTCAAGAAACCATGGGGCTGCTCTGATCTAGATCTCACAAAACAACATAACCACTGTTTTACATACTGACCTTTAGTTTGCTTTCAAGATCAAAGTCACAAAGGGCCAACAGTTAGCCAGTCCACCTAAAAATATTTAGATGTCCTCATTCTGTTTTCTACTTCATCTAGAAAAGATTAATGAAATTTGTATATGATATAATTATAAGATATCTATTAGTAATCCAATAATGCAGTGGATCGGAATAATTGGAAAAACTGTGAAACAAATTTGAGGTTATCCAATAGCAAATTTAGGATCTGGATCTATATATTACAAAAGGTAGAAGGTAGTAACTTGACACACAACCACAATACTTTTCGGTGCTGTCATCTGGGACTGCTGAACAACTAGTTGTATCAAATAATAACTTTTGCCTTCATAGCTCTTATCATTTTTAAATACCCACTGAACTCAGCTGGTCCAAGACCAGCAGCACCAAGAATCAACTACTTTCCTCTAAAAGCAATTACAGTAAGTGGATTAATCAACCCTCAGTGATTCAGAGCGTGAGACTATTTAACTGTACATGTTATCTGCTTTCCTAGAGCTTCCTGCTGCCTATTTGGTTAGATCTAACACTTTCTTCAAGTCTGGACTGCCCTTCACGATGCCAGAGGAAAATGAAAGAAAATACAATAATTTTGAGGCAGACCAGAAAGGTAGATAAAGAAATTGCAAAAATCCTAAAAGGAGAAACATACCATAAAAGGAACGAAGAAAAAAGATAAATAGGGTATCAGTTAGGGAGTCCACATTTGAGAAGAAAAGCTCATCTCTCTTCCTGCCCTAAGTCTAAATTTTCAGTTAAACCCAGAGGAAACACCCTGTATAAAATACTCTGTCTATATTATTTTGTAAATTTTACTCTCTATTGTATTATCTGAATAACTGTCCATCTTCGGTAATACGGCAGGTTGTACAGGCACCCAGTAAATACCTAAAATATGATATCTATTATCAGTATAAATATTGAAAGTACACTGATAAGAAAACAAAAACAAACAAAAATGAAGATACATTGAATTATTTGGCCTGGACAATTAAGGTGCTTAAATATAAAACTGTTTGGTTGAGATACCTGTTTATTAAAAAGTGATTCCTGGACTCCTAAGAGGTTAAGGCATCATGAAAAGGCCTTAGAACAAGGCAGTAAAGTACAGTGGTTAGGCACTAAAGCTCTAGTCGACTCAGACAATACTTAATAAAAATCACTGGATCTCAGTCGGGGTGATTTTGCCCCCATGGGGCATTTAGCAATGTCTAGAAATATTTTTGTTGCCACACAAACAAACGAAGTGGGGAAGGGTGGTGGTACTACTGGCATCTAGCGGGTAGAGGCCAGGGATATTGCTGGACCTCCCACACAATATACAGGACAGTTCCCAAGAACAAAGAATTATCCATCCCCAAATGTCAACAGTGCCAAGGTGACAAACCCTGATGAAAAATTTCATTATGCCACTTATTAGCTGTGTGAATTTAGGCAAGCGATCTATCCTCTCTAAACCTCAGAGCTTCCTTATCTATAATTGGAGATTTTAATAGTACCTATTCTAATATGGTAGTATGAGGATTAAATTGAAAAATGCACTTTATAGGCTTAGCACAGTGTTTGGTATGTAGTAGGCACTTTTATAAATGTTATGTATACTATTAAAATAGTAAATTAAGTCTAAGATTCAGATTTTTACAGACATTAAAAGTTTAGGCAAACTTTATTATTCAAAGTCAAAACTCCTAAAGGAAAATATTATGGCACTACAATCACAAAAATATTTGTGTGTAAAATTTCTTTCCTTGTCAATTAAACAAAGCAATCCATCTTGATAAACCAATATGAAATCAATACCAAATTTAGAATTAAAAAACAATAAATCAATTAATTTTCAAAAAGTATCACGTTAGAGAGTAGGGGCCACTAATATTAAGTAGACTTTCCAGTTCACTTTGTATTCTTTGCCCACACTGGAATTCAATGCCATAGTTTAAAAATTGACCAGATTCCATCCCTGCTACTCCCAACACACACCCACCCACTATAGGAAAACTATTTTTTAGTCAAACTACACATCCTTCAAGGATATTTCCCTACACTATCTACTTTGTTCAAATCATATTCCTAGGTTCACTGGAACAATTACATTCCTTCTGCAGGATGGTCCTAGAATATTCCTGAAAAATATTTCACATTAGCAAATCAGGGTATGTTAAATTGTTCACAGTTTATTTCAAAGATTAGACTTTGTTTTTATGAAATGAATAGAATATATTTCACTTAGCATGACCTGCAACTTGATTATCTGTATCACCACTCTCCTAAAAGTGAAAGTAAATACATTTCCAAATCAAACCTAAAAAGGCATATAACTAAAGAGAATAGTTCCTTACTACTGGATCCTACTGTTACCTTAATGTCATACCTTCTGGGAAGACTTTCCTCATTTCCTAAAACCAACTTAGATACATTTTCCATGTTCGACAAAACCCTCTTCCTTCTCCTTAGCAGTTAAACTACATTTTAATAGTATATTGGTTATCTGATTTTTCCACTAGACTGTAAGCTCCACAAAGGTAGAGACTGTGTACTCTAACCCCCTGCATTAACACTATGCCTGGTACATTTGATGTGCTCAGTAAAATTTTTTTTGCATTAATATATGAATGAAAAGTCCAATAGAAGAAATGTGCAACCTATTTTTTCTATATCTCATCTTTTTTTAAGGCTCAAGGTTTTAAAACACTACTTAAGACTGTATGAAAAAGTAAAATAAAATTGATCACTTTAAACAAATTATATAAATTCCATTGTCAGTTTTGTCTTCAGAACCTCCCAAGCTTGCTCCAGAAATTTGTCTTCAGAAATTTCCACTGTGATTCTAAAACACAAAACAGCTTTCTTTTAAGACGCCTGGAGTTATTGCTGTTTTTAATCAATTCAATATATTTTTGAGCACCTACTAGCATAAAGCAGCCATTGTAAAAGGTATGAATAACAGAGATGATTAAGATCCGTCGTTTGCCCGCTAGGAAACTCAAGTTATTGAAAGACAAAAAAATAAGTTACAATGTGTTGCAGGAATGTGGTACGGCGTATTGGAGAAGGTGGGAACTGGGAATAATCCTGAAAGAATGTGCTGTACTGAACTTTAACAAGTGCTTTTATGTGGCAATATTACCTCACCCACTTTCAAAAGACGTCAGCAAGCTAGGTCAAGGATCAGGTGCTACGTTATAGAGTTGAAGAACTTGGCTGATTTGTCCCAGGATTTATCCGTCAGCAGTCCTATTAGCAGCAGAAAATTAGAAATCCTGATTTTTAACAGTCCCTAAAGAGTCAAAGAACACTGGGTGATCACAATCAACCAAAGCTATCACTTCTCCAGAGCGTTTTTCTAAAGAGAAACAGGTAACACAAAAATCTGAACAACTCCTTCAGGAAAGATTCCTCTCACCGGTAGTCTCTCCCACACCAAAAGATAAAATAGCACTTCAGAGAGGTCGGGAGTGCCCGAGAAGTCACAGAGGTCTCTCGGCCCTAGGAAGGAATGCGATGCTGAGGGCAAAGCGCGCTGGCAGACTTGGGGTCGCGGGGATCTAGTAAGCAGCTCACCTGTTCGTCCTCCTGCATCGAGGCGGCCAGCGGGAGCCCGTCCGCCACTCGGGCGATCATTGTTAGCAACACCATCTTCACAAATTACAGGGATCCAACACTGGCCCGGAAGGCCGTTGGTGTCGTCCTCACTTCCTCCGCCGCGACAACAGTTATTCCCTATGTCTCAGTTACCGGAGATCCAGCTGCTTGCGTCTCCGCTTCCCGCTGAGGTGGCCGGAAACAGCGCAAGAGCTTTCCACTACCGGTCCCCAGAATTGGCTTCCCTCAGAGAACCACAACCATCAGAACACTGGTTCCGCGATCTGCCTTCCACCTTCTTAAACTTCCAAGGTCTGGCCGGCTTTTCTGAATTTGGGGCTTCGAATAAGCCTCGCCCTTTGAGGGGCATTGCACCCAAGCTGAATCAGAATTTTCTAGTTCTTGAAACTAAGTCTTGGGAGAGAGCTGGGAAGGAGGGTGGGAGTTAATGGGTACTCCCCATTAACCATTAACCGTTAACCATGAAAGGTATGTAAAAAAAAGGAAAACCCTGAAAATTAGGCTAGTTTCATATTTTTTTCTATTTTCTATGTTATATATTCTATAAAATTTTCTATATGTATTTCTGGACAAAGATTTTTGTCTATTTTTGCTTGTTTGTTTATGCGGCATCCCCACCAGGCTCCTTAAATAGTTTATGGTAAGAAGTCAATAAATATTTGTTGTATGTGTGAATAAATGAACAAGTACAGGACATCTTTTACCACCTAGGTCAGTCAGCCTACAAAAAGCTAGGATCAGGCCGGGCGCGGTGGCTCACGCCTGTAATCCCAGCACTTTGGGAGGCCGAGGCGGGCAGATCACGAGGTCAGGAGATCAAGACCATCCTGGCTAACAGGATGAAACCCCGTCTCCACTAAAAATACAAAAATTAGTCGGGCGCGGTGGCGGGCATCTGTGGTCCCAGCTACTGGGGAGGCTGAGGCAGTTGAATGGGGTAAATCCGGGAGGCGGAGCTTGCAGTGAGCCGAGGTTGCCCCACTGCACTCCAGCCCGGGTGACAGAGAAAAAAAAAAAAAAAAAAAAAAGCTAGGATCTCTTATATATCTAGGTGTTCCCATCTCTTTGTTCTTTGGTGTCCCCATCTCTACAGTGGGGATATTATCGGCCTTTCAGGGTTTTAATGAATATTAGATGAGAAAATCTAGGTGCAAGGGTTTCATAAGCTAAAACAAGAATCATACAAATGCTTTTATTTATCATTACTTAATAATGACTACTCTTTACTAAGTGCTTACAGTTAGTTTTCACATTAATAGAAACACTGTTAAGTATATTCTAGATATTAATTAAGCAACCCAGTAAGCTTGTTTAGTATTGTATCTCCAGTTTGTAGTTGAGAGGAAAGCCTCAGAGAGCTCACAGTGATGGGAACAGGATTTGAGCTCAGGTTCAACTTCAGATCCTGATGTGATTCTGTCTTAACTTGTACCCATTAACTAAAGAGCTCAGACTTTTGTTACCTTTTATATTGGCCTTCAGCATTAGAAGAAAACTAATATTCTTTTTGTGTGGCATTTTCTTTATTAAAAAGATTTTTATTTCAAGAGCTTTTGGGTTACAAGTGGGTTTTTGTTACATAGATGAATTATATAGTGGTGAATGCTGAGATTTAAGTGCACCCATCACCCGAGTTGCGTACATTATACTTAAAAAGTAGTTTTTTATCCCTAGGTCCCTTCACACCCTCCCCCTTCTAAGTCTCTAAAGTCCATTATATCACTCTGTATACCTTTGTGTACTCAAAGCTTAGCTCCCACTTAAGTGAGAACATATGATTTTTGGTTTTCCACTCCTCAGTTACTTCACTTAGCATAATGGCCTCCAGCTCCATCCAAGTTACTGCAAAGACATTATTTCATTCTTTTTTATGGCTGGATAGTATTCCATGGTGTGTGTGTGTGTGTGTGTGTGTGTGTGTGTGTGTGTGTGTGTGTATCACATTTTCTTTATCCGCTCATTAGTTGACGGGCACTTAGGTTGGTTCCACATCTTTGCAATTGTGAATTATGCTACTAAGAAAACTAATATTATTTAACGATAGACTTTTGAGACCAAAACCCAGTAAGACCTAGTGATTGACTCCACATTAAAGATGAAGGACTAGAATAAATAAGACAAAAAATATATACAATTGTACTATTAACAGAGACAGAAAGTGAAATGGAAGTGAATCCTTGTGTATATGGGAGTTTAAGTTAGTAGAATCATAGTACCTTACATTTAAAATAGCCCATAGATATAAGTTGTTCTAATTTCCCTTTCTCCCACTCAACAAGGACATGCCTTCTCCACAGCCTCAAATGATGGTCATTTGAGTAATGGGGAATTAATGATACAAATATTTTAACTAAAGATACAGACTGCCATGTTGATTAGAGAAGCAGAGAGAGAAGAATGTAGTAGGTGTGTGCCGAGAAGCAAATTCGGAGTAAGAATCCAAATCTTTTTTCAGTTCCTGACTCTAGGCTCTTCCCAAGGCCCATACACATTCTTGCCATTCAGACACTATTGCTTCTTTATAACAAATTCCCTCTTTTACCTGCTTAGGCTACTTTGAGTTAGTTTGTTACTTACAACCAAAACACTCACACACACACCCCAAAAAACTAATAAAAGCATGGAGTCACCCTGGAGCAATTATTTCTTGGAACAACAACATTCATACTCACACCTCTTACTTTTATCCTTTCTAAACACACTAGATGACTCTGGCACCCTTCAAACACAATTGATTCCAGGAAAAGGATAGTGATCTTAGGCCGCTAATAATTTCAGCCATCAGGAGAAAACTAGAGTTGTCTCTGAAACTGCCCACTATTCAGACCTTGGGAACTCTGGCATCTGAGTTCCTTTTCCTTCTGACTTGATCAGCTTCATCTCATTCATATCTAAGTGTTGTCTTTGAGCTGCTGCCCTTTGATTCTTGGAGCAATATAGTACTGTGTAATAATGGTTAACACTGTGATCGGTGAGTACATGGAAGGTTCTCAACTATTTTACATTTAATTAAACAGGAGTATCAGCAAACATTTGTACCGAACTTTAAAATTTATAAAGCCCACGTATGTCCTTTGCCCTAAATCTGACAACCACCTGTGAAATGGATAAAATTCTTGGTGTTTGTAAACGTTGTACTAGGAAAAAAAAAAGTAAACATAAGCCTTGAATGTCATAGTTACAGCTGCTAGCAAATTCTTGAAACTTATCAAAGAAATCGTGAAATGCACATATCTAAATCAACTTATATTAAGCTGCCTAAACAGGATAAGATTTTCCATTACAGCAGTCACACAGTTGCAGAAATTTTGCAAGTGAGATCAAATGAAGCAATAGTTAAAGGTTTGTGTCCATTCATTCTTAAACAATTCTATCGAGTGCCTAATTCTATTCCAGACACTGAGCTAAGGAGGACGAATATAGAATTGTCGTACCTACCCCCAGACCAAACACTGTCACTTAAGAGGTCTGCAAGTAAACGGCAGCTCCTGTTTGAATTACATGATTATATACATGGAAAAAACATTTCTTCTGAGAAACTGCTCCTGACAGGCAAAAGAACAGATAGCCACTGTATCTGGACCAGTATCTATCATTCTGGACTGTATGCACCAGTATGGCTGTACTAGCTATTAAAATATTGGAACATTTTCTTACAGATTCGTTAAAAAGCTATTGCCCTGAGCATCCCCTTCTTGAGCCCCTTCTGCCCCAACAACACGCGAACGCTTAAGACTCCTGCTCCCCACAGTTCAGCCAGATTCCATTGTCATTGGCGGTTTTCCATGTTAGTCATTTCGAAAAGCTTCGCCTCCAGGCATAGCCATTAGCTACCCCCAGGGAATTAGAACGGCCCCGCCTTCCGCCCTGGCGCTTGCCCTCGGGCCACGCCTCCGGTCGGCTGCTGGGCGCAGGCCGGGGCGGGGATTGGGAAGCAGCGCCCCAGGCGGGCTTACTGACACCATCTGTACTGGTGATTAAAAGCGAGTTATTTTGAATTATCATCCCTGATTAAACCTCCTTACAGTGCGAGCTGCGTGAAGGCAGGACTTTTCTTTATTCTTGAATTTTCACAGCCCTTAACTGTGCCCTCCGCACAGTTCATCCAGTCAGTGAAGTGAAAGGGTTAGGGGGAAGGGGGAATGAGCTGAAAAGAACAAGGTGCGCTTTATAAGTCCCGTGAAAGCCTCTGTTTAAAATAATTATGGCTTTGGCAGGGCGCAGTGGATCATGCCTGTAATCTCTGCACTTTGGGAGGCCGAGGCAGGCGGATCACTTGAAGTAAGGAGTTCAAGACTAGCCTGGCCAAAATGACAAAACCCCGTCTCTACTAAAAATACAAAAATTAACCGGGTGTGGTGGCGGGCGCCTGTAATCCCAGATACTAGGGAGGCTGAGGCAGTAGAATTGCTGGAACCCAGGGGGTGGAGGTTGCAGTGAGACAAGATTGTGCGCCACTGTACCCTAACCTGGGTGACAGAGTAAGACTCAGTCTCGAAAAAAAAAGAAAAAAGTATAACTTTATATAGCCTATTTCAAACATGGAGCCACAGCAAAGCTGTCTCTTGCCTTCTAGAAGAAGCTATTTCATGAAACTGTAATACTTCTTCCATCATGTCTGTCTGGTTTCCCTACTTTGTCAGGAAAGCCTAGCAGAGAGCAGGCCCAGCTGGTTCACACCTTGAGCTTGGAATGTGTGGGGTGAGTAGGATAACTGGGTGTAGAAAGTAGAAATTTTATTCTTCAGAGTTTCCCTTCTTGTTAAAGAATAAATCATAAGTGTTAGAAATAATAGTTTCTTTTAAAGACTAACTTCCTTCAATTCTCCTTGCTTTGTGCTATTAACTCTCTGTTAAGCCCTATCCTATGTAGTTATTAGACATAAAGGAATAAGTACATTCAATGTCCTTGTACTTTAACCAAAATATTTGTGCTGGACATGCTCACAGGCATGTCTCAGCTCACAGCCTATGCCCCTTCCTTATTTAGGAATATTATTACTTTTCTAAGTCCTTTCGGAAGCAACTTCCTCTTTTCTTTTGTCTTTCCATTGCTTTTACCTATTTAGAAAAGTTTTAAATTATTAGCCAGTTAGGTTTTACTTTAGATTGTGCCATCTGGCTCCAGCCAACAGAGACAGCACACAGTAGCAAGGACAAGCTGCGT